AGGCGCTAAGCGATATCCAAAAGTTTTTTTACTTGCGCTCCTCGTTATCAGGGGACGCCGAAAACGTAATAAATTGTCTGCAAACCACGGCCGATAATTATAAAGTGGCGTGGGAAAGTTTAACAGAGCGTTACGACAACAAAAAGGTTTTAATACAAGTACACACACAATCTATATTCGATTTGGAACCAATTAAAAAGGAATCTTCTTATCAATTGCGCCGATTAGTAGACGCGTTAATAGGACACATGAAAGCATTAGAAACATTAGGAGAAAACCCAAAACAGTGGGGATCATTATTAATGCATTTAATAGTATCTAAATTAGATGCAAGAACAATGAGAGAATGGGAAGTCACATCGTCCAAAACAGAAGTTTCCAACATTTCAAATCTTACCGACTTTTTACAATCAAGATTTCGAGTATTAGAGGCAGTGGAAACATCTCAACAAATCAATGCATTAGCATTTGAAAACAATAATCGCAAAACAAATGCGAATAAAAGGATCAAATCGAACGTGTTCGCCACCACCAGCGAAGTAAAATGTTATTCTTGTAAACAAGCACACACAATATATCGTTGCCCATCATTCCTTGGTTTGACGATTTCGGATCGCATAAAAAGAGTAATTGAATTAAAATTATGCAAAATATGTTTAAGGCCACATAATGATGGTGATAAGTGTCAATCAAGACGATGTACACTATGTTCGCGCCCGCATAATAGCCTATTGCACCTATCCCGTACCGATAAACCCGTCAGACAAGTCGCGTCGCATAGCGAGGTCAATGACCGCGACGACGAAAAAGATGACAAGAATAGTAACGCTCCGATCGTATCGGTGAGTGCGTATGCGTATCGTAAAGGTAACGACGGTCAAATTTTACTATCAACCGCAACCGTGATGGTTTATAATAGCAATCGTCAACCGACATATTGTCGTGTACTGTTGGACAGCGGGTCACAACATAATTTCATAACAGAAGCACTGGCACAACAATTAAGACTAAAACGCACAAGAACGTCATGTGCTGTTATCGGTATTAACGAATCTACGCATTCCGCATCTCATATAGTAAATACGAATATAAAATCACGCGTAACAAATTATTTATCGAATTTAGATTTTTATGTTTTACCCAAATTAACTACAAACTTACCATCAATGCCCGTCGTAACATCAAATCTTAAATTACCTGCAGGGCTGGCGCTGGCAGACCCCACATTCGGCACACCACAAGCGATCGACATGATATTAGGTGCCGAAATATTTTTCGATTTAATTATTAATGAACAATTGCGTCCAATACCAAACGGACCAGTCTTACAGAATACGCGATTAGGATGGATTATTTCCGGTCCGGTACCGCACTCGATAGTTCGAAATACGAACGCTAGTATATCGCTGTTCGCACATACTTCACCAAACTTACAAACACTCGAAGACCAAATGGCTGCATTTTGGCGTCTTGAAGAAATAGCACCCGGTCAAGCATATACCACGGAAGAACGTGCGTGCAAACAGCATTTCGAAAAACACGTCCAACGCGACGATTACGGACGTTTCGTTGTTGTATTACCATTTAAGAAGGCGCTTAAGTTAGGAAACTCATATGAGAGAGCTTTACGTAGATTTCTGTCGTTAGAAAGGCGTTTGCAAGCGGACACAGACTTAAAAAACGATTACGTCAAATTTATGAACGAATATATCGAGCTTGGGCACATGTCAATTGCGAACGCGAATCCAGATGTCTCAATGACAGATCGCCATTATTACCTACCGCATCATGCCGTATTGAAAGAGAGCAGCACGAGTACCAAATTGCGGGTAGTATTCGATGCGTCGGCGAAAACAGACGCTAATATTAGCTTAAATGACGTACTATTGAAAGGTCCGTGTATACAGGAGGAACTTGTATCTATAATGGCTCGATTTCGAACGCATAAGTATGCCATTAGTGCAGATATAAAAAAAATGTATAGACAAATTTGGGTCACTGAAAGCCAGCACGATTATCAGCGTATCTTATGGCGTGAAAACCCCGGCCATCCTTTAAGTACGTACTGCTTGAAAACAGTGACATATGGCGTAATTACCGCGTCCTATCTAGCTACGGCGTGTTTAAATAAACTATCGAATGATGAAGCTGTCCGATATCCCGAAGCCTGTCGTGCCTTAAATCAAGATTTTTATGTTGACGACTTTCTTGGTGGCGCAGCGTCATTATCTGAAGCATTGAAATTACGCGACGATTTGATAACGGTTTTAAAAGGGGCTGGTATGGAATTATGCAAATGGTCCAGTAACGATTATAGACTATTAAAAGACGTTAATGGTACAAATTCAGGTGTTACTAATAATTTAACCGATAAAGAAAATACTACGAAAATACTAGGCATGTATTGGAATCAAAACATCGACGCATACCAATATAATGTACGCCCGTATAACGAAAATATACGCGTTACGAAACGAGTCGTCTTATCAGAGATAGCGTCCGTGTTTGATCCGTTAGGACTGATAAGTCCAATAATAATTAAATTAAAAATAATAATGCAACGATTATGGCAGGTAAATACGAGCTGGGATGCTGCATTACCTTCGGATATCGAAAAAGATTGGATAGACGGCCGTCGGAAAATGATCGATTTAAATACACTTGCCATTAACAGGTCCATTGTTGGCGAAGGCGAGATAGCTGATATTCAGCTACACGGGTTTTCAGACTCATCTACAACCGCATACGGCGCGTGTTTGTATTTACGTGTGGTAAATATTAATGGTAAATGCACTACGAATCTAATCTGTTCGAAGTCGCGTGTAGCCCCGTTAAAAACCGTTTCAATACCGCGACTAGAATTACTCGCAGCCGTACTACTAGCGCGCTTAGTGTCCAAATATGCACCATGCTTGCGACTGCCTATAAAAAAAACATTTTATTGGTCAGACTCAATGGTTGTTCTAGCATGGATAGCGTCACAGTCGTCCCAGTGGAAGACGTTTGTAGCTACTAGAATTGGAGAAATACATGACCGTACTTCTATACACGATTGGAACCACGTAGGTACCCACGATAACCCGGCAGATATAATATCACGCGGATGCTGCCCGTCTAAAATTAAAAATCTTAAAATGTGGTGGAATGGACCAGAATGGCTGTCTTCTGATCAGTCCAATTGGCCGAAAAATAATAAAAATATTATTTCATGTGAAAAGGTGATAGCAGAGTCAAAAATTACATCTTACGCAAACGTAACGACCACCCACGATCGCGATGAATCGTATTTTAATCGATATTCGTCGCTTACAAAATTAATACGTGTAACGGCATATTGCAGGCGTTTCGTGCGTAACGCGCTGTCGAAGTGCTCTGATAGATCTTACGGACCAATACAAGCAAATGAGTACGACGCAGCCAACCTTTGTATAATCAAACAAATACAGTCAATATATTTTTATAAAGAAATATCGGATTTACGAAATTCGCGTTTGGTACATTGCAAGAGTTCATTGCGCCATCTGAATCCTTTTGTCGACGAAAATAATTTAATAAGGGTGGGTGGCCGATTAAAAAATGCATCCACACTAGAAACGTTTCAACGACATCCTATCGTGTTACCGGCAAAAAGTAATTTTACTAGGTTAATATTTTTGCACGAACATCAACGATTATTACACGGCGGCCCGCAAGCTATGCTGGCGTCGGTTCGCGATAGATATTGGCCGCTGAACGGACGAAACATTGCGCGCACAATCTCGCATCAGTGTGTAAAATGTTTTAGATACCGTCCTATTGTCGTACAACCTATTATGGGCAACTTGCCGAAGGTTCGCGTCGAACCGTCTAGAGCATTTTCGAAGGTCGGAGTAGATTTTGCCGGACCATTTCATATTAAAGCCAGTCTGCGTCGAAATGCGCCTACCAACAAGGCGTATGCTTCTATTTGGGTGTGTTTGGCAACCAAAGCAGTTCACGTAGAAGTAGTCGGCGATTTGACTACGCAATCTTTTCTAAACGCGCTGCAAAGATTTTGCGATCGGCGTGGGTTATGTACCGACATTTACTCGGACAATGCCACTAATTTTGTAGGCGCAAATCGTCAACTGCAAGAATTAAAGGCACTATTTTTATCCAAGGAGCATCAACACCAGGTCATCGACGCAACAACAAAATGTGGTATTCAATGGCACTTTATTCCGCCCCGCTCACCACATTTTGGTGGTCTGTGGGAGGCTGCGGTTAAATCATTTAAGACGCATTTATACAAAACCATAGGTAACGCATCGCTCACCTTCGAAGAATTGAATACAATTTTTGTACGGATTGAGGCGATATTGAACTCTCGTCCTTTAACCCCTCTGTCCACCGATCCCTCTGATATGTCTGTATTAACTCCCGGACACTTCCTCATTGGCAGCTCTTTATGCGCACTACCTGATAGGGATGAAACCACTACGCCTCCAAATAGGCTAACGAGATGGAGGAGGGTCACTCAACTGTCGCAACAACTTTGGTCTCGATGGAGTAGGGATTATCTATCGCAATTACAAGCGCGCAATAAGTGGACTAAATCTCAAGGTCCCATTATCCAAGCGGGAACAGTGGTCCTCATTCGCGACGACAATCTTCCGCCATTACAATGGTCTATTGGTCGGGTAATCGAAATCCACGTCGGCACGGATAATCAGATACGCGTAGCTACTGTTAAAACCAGTCATGGAAAGTTTCAACGAGTCGTACGTAATTTATGCCCATTACCTTTTGATGACAATCAACAGATAAAGATTTAAATATTATCAGTTAAAATTTAAATGTGTATTAATAGGCATCAATGTATATTATTATTGATTTATAATTTTTATAATAATGTATTTATATTTTCATTGTAAAACTTTAATGTTCATCAATTAGGTATTATTATTAATTACTATTGTATTATTATTATTACTTTTGTTCGTCATTTATTATGTTATTGAAACTTATTATTTCAAGGTGGCCGGTATGTTCGGTACGTAGCGGCGTATCGATAAAAATAAGATAAGACAAAT